CAACATCTGGACCATTAGAAATGCAATAGGGATGCGTAACATCCTGCATGTGGTGCATGTTTCTGTGTGTTATCACACTGATCAGCCTGTGAACCATAAGTGCTTCTAAATTATGACCCGAACTCTAAAACTGCGCGTTCATACAGACAGCACGGACACGTTGATGTTTCTTTCTGGACTTTCTGCCACAGTCAGAACTGTTGTCTGAAGGTAAGACACGAATGCAATCAGGTAACGTGCTTACACGAAGCTTGTCTTATACAAAAGGCTTCTGGTGTCTAACAGGAAGCGGCTTTGTTGATGCTCCTTCCTGTTGCGCTGTCAGACTGACCCAGTGAAAACATTGAGTCGTGTGGCAGCCTGTGATAGGCTGGTGATCTTTTGGGATGGACCACGGCAACGAGAAGCTTCTGTGCCTAATATTATGGCTGTGATTGACAGCCTTCAAGAAGACGACTGGAATGAAGAACAGGGTAAAAGTGTGAGCGTGGTGGTTAGTTGTCTGGTCCTGAGAACATCTGTAATAACCTTCTTTTCCAGCTGTTTCTGTCAGATGATGCACGTCCGCCTCGTTTAGCGCCGTGAAAGGCGAAGAATAGACTCGCCGCACACGCTCTGCACCAACGGCTGCGTCACGCTTGTGTTTGACGTGCCAGAGCTCACATTTCCTCGTTTCCCAGGAGGGAGGTGCTGTTTGTGTAAACGCCGGTCTGAAAAAGGCTCACACAAATATGGTCTCTTTGTTTTTCAGATCACCAGAAGTTGGAGCGCGAGGCCAGGATCTGCCGCCTGCTGAAGCACTCCAACATCGGTAACTAGAGCTCCTGCTTCACTGAGGACATTACAGTTTTATTTATTTCTGCCGACAGTGAACATGAAAGCCTTTAAAGGCTGCCCGTGACGTCACATAGCGGCTCTGCCAGGATATTCGCCCGTGCAGCAGCTCTCCTCAATAACTTCATTACTTCAGTCAAATCAGAAGAGCTGAGTCTTAATCTTAGGGTTAGGGCTGCCACAGCTCTCCTGGCTTCTTTGCTCTGTTGAGTCCTCAGAGCGAGTGCAAGAGCACACCCCCACTGCCTCATTCCCCAAACTACCCACTGCAGACTCACCCGTCCCTTATTGCAGCACAAGCACAAGGATACTTCCCCTCTGAGCCACAAAGACCTGCAATTATCACCTCAG